ATCCTACCATTTGCAACAACATGGATGGAGCTAGAGGGTATTATGCTCAGTGAAATAAGCCAGGCGGAGAAAGACAAATACCAAATAATTTCACTCATATGTGGAGTATAAAAACAAAGGAAAACTGAAGGAACAGAACAACAGCAGAATCACAGAACCCAAGAATAGACTAACAGTTACCAAAGGGAAAGGGACTGGGGAGGATGGGTGGGAAGAGAGGGATAAGGGTGGGGAAAAAGAAAGGGGGCATTATGATTAGCATGTATAGTGCGTGGGGGGCACGGGGAGGGTTGTGCAACACAGAGAAGACAAGTAGTGATTTTACAGCATCTTACTACGCAGATGGACAGTGACTGTGAAGAGGTATGTGGGGGGGACTTGGTGAAGGGGGGAGCCTAGTGTCCTTCATGTAATTGTAGATTAATGATACGAAAATTTAAAAAAAATGAAAAAAAAGAAGTCTAAAGAACCTGAGAGAAAGGGCAAAGATGTAAAAACTTCTGCCCTCCAAAAGACACTGCTAGAAGACAAGTCACTGGGGGAAAATACCTGGAACTCACACATCTGATAAAGGCCAGTCCCAAGAACATATAATGAACTCTAGAATTCACCAGTAAGTAAATGAATACAACCCAATCAAAGATGCACCAAAGAGCCGAACAGACACTTCACTGAAGAAATATGGAAAGTTTGCCAACATGCCCAAAGCTGCTCAGCACCATCAGTCTAACCTCAGAGAAATGGGTCTAACCCAGAGTATGACAGCCCCGTCCCACACTGGGACACTAACACAAAGAACCGCCCTGGCAAGTGCCGTCAGGATGGGAAGACCTGGAACTCTCGTCCAGGCAGCTGGAAATGCACACGGGAGAGCCACTTTGAAAGGAAGTTTGGCGGTTTAAGTCATACATGGAGCCAGCCTTTCTCCCTGCTGGTATTTTCTGGAGAGAAATGAAAGCGGACCTTATAGATGAATGCTCCCAGCAGCTTTACCTGTGATCATCCCAGATTGGAAACATCTCAACGCCACTGTCTGGTGAGCAGGTCAGTAACTGCGGCCCAGCCACAGGATGCGATACACTCAGCAGTAAGAGGAATAAGCTGTGGACTCACAATAACACAGTTGAACCCAAAGAATTATGCTGAGTAAGAAGCCAAACAAAAGGGGAGAACTAACTGAATTGACATAAAATTCTAGAAAATGCAAACCATTTACAGTGAGAGAGCTGATCAGCAGCTGCCTGGAGGGAGCGATGACAAATGCACAAGGGAACTTCTGGATCATGGGTGTGTCACCACCTTGACGATGGTGATGGCTGCATGGGGGTAGACAGGCATTAATTCATCAAGCAGTTACATGTAGTTTATGGTGTGCCGATCATACCCCAACAAACCTGCTTTCTAAAAAAAGGACAAAACTGCACCACAGGTGGGACCTGTGCTATAATTAAAGTTGTATATTGTGTGTACATTCCAAATTATTCACAAAATGTCTCTGATTCACTCCAGGACCTCCCAAGGCAAGTCCATGCCATGTCAGACCCAGAAGCCCCATGGACTACTACGATATGGAGCTGGGTTTTCAAAATCCTTTTGAAGCCATGAAACTGCAAATGGTGATGGAAATGGAACCCAGGATAGAAGTGCCCATCTTCCGAGACCCTCTCGACTGACCAGTGATGGAGACCTAACTGCACCCCCTCTCAGCACGAAGCAGCCAGAGCGGTTGTCGCCCCCTTTCCCTAGCAGTAGCTAGGGTCTCCATCTGCAGAGGGGGGAATGAGACAGGACCATGGGCTTAGACAGAGGAGGGTGGGGGCCTCCGGAAAAAACAAAGCAAGATAATCCGTTGTGGGATTTGCTTTGGCCTGCTGGGGGGCCCAGTTTATTTTTCTAACTTTACCCAAGTGCTGCTTTTCTTCCTCTGGCCCTAAACAAATTATTTGCAACTTGGGCAATGCAAGTCCAAAACAACTAGTAAAAACAGGAAGGATTCCATCTTGAAAATAAGATTGCATCTTAAAACCCAATTAGTCAAAAGGTAAATTTCTTAACAAACAGTAAGTAACTCAGCCCACCTTGGGAGCAAAGCAGGCAGTCTTGAGTGATACGCTCCCAGACCAGGAAGCTGCTATCCTGGGAGGGAATCAGAGCAGTAAATTCCTTATAAATAACCAGGAAGACTAATAAGAAACAATGTCTCTTCAAAGATAAAACATTTTGGGACCACTTAGCAGGTGTGCATCCCTAGCCCTTTGTCTCTCAACTGCCTATAAAGCCCTAGACAACTCACCACTCCGGGGCTCTCTTGTCCCCTCCTGGCCTGAGCCGGGAGCTCTGCCCTCTTGCTTTATCTCTAAAAAAAAGCCTCTGCCTTGCTCTCCTAAAAAAAAAAGGACAAAACTATCTTTTTTAAGAAAGCAAATGAGTGAAATGAGTGGTTTACATAAATACATAAAGGATATTTTATGAAAAGGTGTTCAATTTCACTCACAAGAAAAACACAAACTAAAGCTTCACTGAGAAAATTAGAAATTTCTCACCACTCCTGCTGACTTAAAGGCACACAAAAAGGTGGGAGGTGGGGAGGGGCACTCGGACAGCCCTGGGGAGGGGACTCTGCACTGTGCAACACAACTGTGCTTATACTGACCTTTGACCTACAATCCCTTTTCTGGAAGACACCTGATAATTCTCTCCAAAAACACAATGATCCCAGGATGCTGGTGTGGAGGAAGGGACAGTGTCTTCTGGGGAACACTGCTCAGAAAAGGCTATCACAGGGTGACGGATAAGTCCAAATCCTGGTGGTGCCAAGAGCCCAGGGAAATGCAACAAATCTCCATTTGCATTGGCCTTGGACCCAAAAATCCCCCTGTGAATGGCAGTTTTCAATGGAGGAAATAAAAACTGATTAAATGCTCCCCGCTGCCCCTTCCCAAGCTGTCCCCTCACCCAGCGCCACTTGCATGGTGCAGCCCAACTCTGAGGTGTGCATGGCTAGCAGCTTCCGAGGCTCATAAAGGGCAGAACCAGGCTGAGCACCTGCGAAGCTGGCAGCACTCCATGGGATGGTCTGGGTCTCAAAGGGCAGGACCCACTCAAGGTCCCCAGCAAGCAGGAAGCGTGTGCTCAGTCACTACTAGAAATGCTGGAGGACATGTTAAGTTTTTAACTTATTCTTAATTAAACTAAGACAACTCTTCGGCATGTGGGAAGCATGATGAGGGTCCAGTGCTGCAGCTGAGTGTAGGATACAACACACACAGGAACATGTACGGAGCCCTGCCTGCTCTGGGGGGAGCCCAGCAGGAACGTGAGGCCCCCAGGTGGCCGCCCCAGGAAGGAGAAGAGGCCACACCCCACAGGCAGAGGAGGCTTCAGCCGTGGTTCTATCACCTGCCAACAGCGTGGTACTGAGTGGCCACCCCATCTGAGGAGAGGGGATGGCTTCCCCTAGAGCCAGGCCACCACTGCATCAAGTGTTATGAGCCCCCGCCTGGACCAGGACCCATCCGCCAGCAGCCAGTGGGACCAGGGCCTCCTCCTCCAGCCACGGCCCCCCACAGCTCTGCCACCGCAAAGGATCTGGGGAGCCTCTTATCTCTACTTGGGTGCTCTCCCCACTGTCCTCCAGCCAACACCCACTCAGCCTTTGGATCCAGCTTAAACTTCCCTCTGGCGGAGGCTTTTCATGATGCCCAGAGGAGGGCAGGTCCCCTGAACACAGAACAGTTGCTTCTCCCTTGCAGCTCTGAGCTCAGTGGAAGTAAAGCCATGACATAACCCAGGGTCAGGAATGCGTCTGCCAGGCCACCTTGAGGGCCTTCGGGACACTGAGGGGTAAACGCGCTCAAATCAACGGGGTGCCACAGGTACGTACCACAGGTCGGGGTTGTCGGTGCTGTTTTCTATGCTGAACTGTTCAATCTCTGGTCCCACTTGAGCCACAAATTTGGCCAGTTTCTCTGCAGTCTCCATTGTCTTCAAGTCAACTACAAAACGAAGCAACCGTCATGTGTTGGCTCGGAGTTGCCACCTCCCATGTGAACTCCCCTCCCCTGTGAAGCCATGGGGCCGGATCATGAGGAGGCCCCGGGTCCTCTCACTGCTCCTCGCCCTGAGCCCCATGCCTCTGTCCTCTTGAAGTGGCCTGGCCCAGAGACTCCTGCAGGCTGACAGACTTGGTGAAAGTATGGAGCCTGGGCCTCAGGGGCCTCAAGTACGTCCGCTGCCTCTCCTGGAGGCCTGACCCCGTCCATCAGGTAACCAAACCCAGGTGGATGCACTGGGGGTGCCAGACACATGGCTCAGTCACCCCCATTCCTTCTGCTGACAGCCCCAGACAACCAGTCGCTGCCTGCACACCTGTGTGGGCCCTGCCCAGCTCAGCAGACTCCTGTTTGAAGCCACCGTCTAGAGTGTGGCTCGTTACATAGCAATAGTAGAGGACAGAGCAGCTGGGTAGATTTTTTCCCCCCTTACTGTGCTGATGGGGAAGCACTGGTCAGAGGCAGGCCTACAGCAGAGGGAAAAGGTAATGGCCTGGAGAAACAGGTGAAACTGCAGGTCAGCTAACCCTGAGGGAAGAGACCCCAGGAAGAGAAGGCAGAAGGGCAGACGTGGGCAGCCCTATGGAACGGAGAGAGGGGCAAGATGAGGAGGAGCTCAGTGCCCCAAGCACGGGCACACAGCACAGCCACATAGCTGGCAGCAGGGCCTGGCAGGGAACCACCGAGCAGCACCTCACATGGGCTCTACCTCAGGGTAGGAGGGGAGAGGAAAGTGCTTCCACATGCACCTGTCCTGCCAGGTCCTTGCTGCTTCTGCCTACTGTCCCCCCAGCAGAGACCCCTGAGACCGGGAAGTCAGGGCTGGGGCCAGAGGAGGGGGTCAGGAGTGAGCACCCACCGTCAGCAGATGGGCAGGGAGAGGAGGTCTGAGGGCCTTCCACGACATCCACATCTGCTGCCTTGGGGGATGGGCCTGAGGCTTCTGGGCTGGGGTCCCTGGAGGGTCCCGCTGGGTCTGGTGGGCAGCCCTTGGCAGCAGCATTTACGTCCGGCTGGGGCAGCTTTCCTTGTGAGGAGCCTGGAGCCTGGCGGCCATGGGGTTTCAGCCTGGCGCCCGAGGAGAGGAGGGCCTGGGTGCCAGCAGTTGCTCTCCTTGCCTTCCAGCCCCGGAGCCCATGAGTGCAGAGCAGCCCCCGCCGCCGCCCTGGGAGGAGCCTCTTCTTGAGGCTCCGGATCGCCCGGGCGTAAAGCATGGCTCGGACTGCGCACTCTGCCGAGGTGGGTTTCTGATCTGCTCCTGGCAAGGTCTGGCTCATCCGCTGCATTTCTGCCAGCTTCAGCTTATAGTATTTATACTCCAGGCTACTGTCATCAGACAGAAACCTATGTAACAAAACAGGCACAGCAGGACACTGGTTAAAACACCAACATGTACAGATCATTGCTCCATTTCCACACACCCTTTTTATGTGGCAGCCTCCCTACTATCCAGGAGGTTCTGCCTGGCTCCACAGAGCAACCAGAACTTGGCCTAGGTCACCAGTGCTGCCCAGGGTGACCACAAGGGGGCCCGGAGCTTTGACAGAGCGCTGGTCGGTTCCTCCTGCATTTCCATCAGCAGTCAAGGAGGAGCTCACAGCTCCTGGTGGCCTTCTAATACAAACAAGTCACCCCAGCGCCAGAGGCACTCTGCCACTCTGTCGCTCCTGGATGCCATTTACGGAAGGTGGCACTCTACAAATGGCCCAGTGAGGCTGGGCTCTCATTGACTTTTCAACCACACCACTGAGGCCAGTGTGCCACTGCTGTGAAACCATGTGCCAGAATCCTTGGGAGAAAGGGACAGCAAAGAGGCTGAGTTTCACGTGCTGACATGGAATCAGTGACACAGCCAATGAAGAGGACAAGCTACAAGGCCAACAACCTCAGTGCATACTCCTGAAACTGCTTTGTGTACATGCATCCGGGCACATTTGGGCCTTTCACACAGCAAGAAGGAATATAGGTCAGACTTACTAGCTTTGGGGAACGGCACAAAAAGGAGAGGGGAGCACTCCAACGTTATTGACTTTGTCTTGTTTTGGTGGCGCCTTCTTTTACCCCTATCAATCCTCCTTTCTAAGTGTGGACTTCCTTCAACATTCCTTCTGGCTTCACGAGCAGAAGGCTCATCTTCACTCTCTGATAAATGTGCACAAAGCTGCACTTTCTCTAAGAGCTGCTGCAGCCGCGTTTAGGTGCAGCATGCGCCCCCACTGTTTCCTTCTGAAGGGTTTCTAATTTCAGTTGATTCCCCTTCACTCAAATTTAGAATCGCGTTTTATTTTGGTTGTTGCTGGTTTCCACTGTAGTGCCTTGTATAACGTGGCCCACGTGATGTCCCTTCCCTGGGAGAGGCTGTAGTCTTCCCTGTGACTACACACATAACTGGTTTTTGTGAATGTTCAGTTTCAGTTTGTTAAAGAAGAGTGAGCATAGTTTGGTGAGTAGAAATACACTTCAGGTGGCTTCCCGACTGCTTGGTGTTGACAGCGCACCTTAACCGTTGGGAGACGAGCTCCTGACTACCGACGACGGAAGCCCCTGCTGCCGTCACGCAGTCAAGGTCTGGCCAGATCTGAGCAAACAGGCTGCATGCTGGCTCGAGCGGTACCATGGACCCTCTGCTGGGCTGACAGCAGCAACCTGCGAGATCAGACCCTAACGAGCAAGGGTCCCACCTGAGGGAACCTGACCAACCTGGACATTCTGCTCTGCACATCGCACAGCCCTAGCAAGGCCACCCCTCTTCCAAGGCAGAGGCAGAGTCCATGCCCAGGCGACCCATCCCTACCACGTATGGCCCTTTCACCCAGATGGCTCTGATGTCAAGTGCAGCCTAAGGATGTTGGTCACAAACCCATCTCCCCAAGTTCAAGTGGCACATAACCTCAAGAGCGTTGAATACTCCTGAGGCAGCCTGCTGGGGTCAGCCAGGGCAGCCACTTACTAGCCATGAGATTTACTCAACCTTTCTGTGCCTTGGTTTCTCTGTATGATGGGATGAACAATAGTAATAAACAACTTCATTATGTTGTTATGAGGCTTGAATTACAGTTTTCATTCTAAGGAAAATACTTTGAATACTGCCTGACATTCATTTACTGCTTAACAAATATTAGCACATTATCTCTGCAAGCCCATTCAGTGTTCTAAATCTTTCCTTACTGGGAAACACCTACCCATTTCAAAGAAATGAATTCAAGTCTCCAGCCATGATACACATTTACCAGTTCCTCTTGTATTTCTAAATGGTGTTTATTCCCAACTGTTGTACCTTCCTGGTGACTTCCCTTTGTCAGTACCTCTCTTGCCCTTTTATGCTTTGTCTGAAGTAATATTCCATACCTCCTTTCTTTCTGGTAGCATTTGCTTGGTATGTAATTGTCCATCTTTTTTCCCTACTCCCTGTGTTTTATTTATCTCAAGAGGAAGCAACAGCTGGTGCTTTTAAACCCAAGTCTGGCTAGTAAAGGTGGCATCAATCCTTAGAAACTGGTGGGTTACTGGGAAGGCTGAGTGTATTCAGGCCATTGTAATCTTTTCCTCTTTGCTCGCTTTCTTGCTTTTTTTTCCTTTCTTGCTTTTCATTGGGATGAATTCATTTTGTCTTTGGCCTTCCCCCACTCTGTACTAGAATGGAAGTTATGCCTTTAATGGCTAATCAATATACACTTACACTGGTATTTTTCTGTCAACATCCAGAGTTACTGACTAGCTCTATCCTCCTTCTGAATGAGACAAGAGCCCTGCCATGTGCTTCCCTCCTTCCCCTCACCACCCTGTACATTTAGATCACCTGGGATTTTAGGTCCCCACTGCCCCAAGCATCAATTATTTAGATTGTATGTTCACTTCAGGGCTCCTGGACAATCCTGCTTGGGCTAGCCGAGAAGGATTCATGGCCATTTGCTTTTTCCTGAGTCCGTGGACCTGGTGGGCTGTCCCTGGACAGCAGGGTCCACCAAAGGTCAGAGCCATCCCACTCCCAGGGGACAATTTAAGGACGGGAGAAAACAGGAGTGTGATGTGCTCCTCCAGCTCTACACCTTATGCTGTTGGGGCCATTCTATAGGCTTTTCAGTCTCTCTTGCAGGGCATGGAGGAAGCCAGACGACTAAAGCTCCAGACAAGGAAGCAAAGTGGGGGTGGGCATACGCACTACTGACATTTTTGTGCACCAGAAGGATCAGGCCGAGAGAGGCAGCAGCCAGTCCTGTCTGCAAGGCTCAGCTGCGAAGGAACCTGTTTGCCACTCCTAGTAGGGAGGGGGAATCTAAAATCTCTGCTGGACCTCAGAGGGCAGAGAGAACACACCCTTCTTCCTCACATCTGTCTCCTAAGATCTACACCTTTCTCTTGCTAATAATAAGACTCTATTATTGCATTTGGGCCTAGCAAGAAGAGGGTCCTCTGATCAAAAACTGAGAATTCCTCAAACACTGGGAGGAAACTGAGCTAAATCCTCAATTAGCTACAAAGGGCATTAACAATAAGGCATAAAAACGATAGATTAAGGAACAGCAACATAGACTTATCATCAAGAGACACCATGAGAAGTAGCTTAAAGAACTAAAAGTGACTGCCTCCAAGGGGTGGGCTGGCATGGGGGCCATCAAGGCTGAAATATTCCACTTTTCATCATTATTAGTTCAACTGATTTTTTTTTTTTTTGGCAAAGCATGTACAAGTAGTACTTTAAGAATTCAAACATATATACCCAAAACCGAAGCTTACTAGCTTCCCTATCACTGTCTCTGGCAGTACACTGCCCCCTCCTAGCGTCTCTGGATGGTTCCTCCTGCAGAAGTTCATGAGTTCCAGCTCCCTGAATCTGTCCTTCATCTGGGTCTATCTTACCCACCTGCCACGGAGATTTTTTTATTTCAACTCAAATTTTTCATTTCCAAGACCCTTAACAGGTTCCAAAAACAAGCAGTTCCTGTTTCACAGATACAATGACTATTAACCATCTAAGATAATTAATCACACACAGATTTTTCTATGAAATCTCCTTTTTCTTATAGTACTGTCTTCTCAGGTGTCAGCTCTGTTGAGTTGGGTGACTTCTTCATGATGCCGATTTTCCTCAAATATTTGATTTCTAATTCAACGCTTATTTCTGATTCTGCGCACGCGCGCGCACACACACGTTAGCGTCATAATGCCTATTTCTGATTCTACACACACACACACAGATGCAGAGTGGGAGGCCAGCAGGGGGAGCCCTCACGCACACCACTCCTGACTCAAGCAGGAGACAGACACGTCTGCCAGGCCGTACTGCTTCCCAGGCCATACTGCTTCCCGTACTAGTTTCCCATCCAACAGGAGGGTTTCCGCTTGCCCCAGTAACAACTAAGCCAATGAAACTGTCACAACTCGGCCAATGAGAGGCTGCTACACTTCTAATTCCCACTTTACTCTAGTGGCCTCTTGTTTATAATCCTCCCAACACCCCTTTTTCTCTTGAGTCTCTTCTCCATTGTTCTCTGGACCTGCCTATGGCTTTGCCGTAGCTTGCATGTCCAAACTGCAATTCTTTGCTATTCCTGAATAAACCCATTTTTGCTGGTAAAATAACTAATATTTTTCTTTTTAAGGTTACTATGAGCCTGTGCTGGGTCATGTGTAATGGTCACGGGGTGGGGCTCACCCAGTTCTTTCAGAGCCCCATTTCCTCCGGCCCACCTGGAAATTGCCTCTGGGCCTTCCAAGCATGGGTGGCACCTTGCCCAAGGAGTTTGGTTTCTGCTCTCGCCTGTCCATCACAGGCTATCCAGCTTCCCTCTTCTACCATGCACACTGGCTGAGAGCCGGAATGTGAATCTGAGCTCTGTCGCTTACTAGCTGAACATCCTTGAAGCAAGAGTCTCCTAGAACCTTGAGTTTCCTGTCTATAAAATAAGGACCTTGAGTTTCCTGTCTATAAAATAAGGATGGCAACATACCCACCTTGCAAGGTTATTAATGAGGAGATTGGCCACTTTGTGCTTAACTCAGCAAAGTGCTAAGAATAGTACCAAGTACACAGAAAGCAAAGTGTATGTGTGCTAAATAAAGTTTTCAATAAATGATGGGACAATTAAGTTACTAGTTTGTTAGCTTTTTTTAACTTTTAAGTGACATGCCTAACCTCATTCCATACATGAAAATAATCCCAATGAACTCAAGAATTCTGTAAAAATAAAACCATACAAGCTCCTACCCTCCCCCTGGTAAATCATGCTGGTTGAGATCAAAGCTCTGGTATTGTTGCATGGAAGTTTGACTTTCATAAACTGGCTTGCAGGGGGGCAGAGAGTATCAACTGGGACAAATGACCCATGGAAAGTGACCTGATGGCAAAGACCTATGGACCCCACTGGGGACCACTCTTGTGCCCAGGGGCCACTGGGCAGTGTCTGAGGTGCTTCTGGTTGTCGGGGCTGGGATGAGGATTCTACTGAAATGAGGAATCTTATGGCATCTAGTGGGTGGAGGTCATGGATGCCACTGATCACCCTGCACTGCCCAGGAGAGGACCCATTGCACAGGAATAGCCAGCCTCCAATGTTAATCATGCTGCCATTGCTCTAGAAATACAGACACAGAGCAAAAGCCTCTGAAGTGAGCCTTCTCTTTAACCCAGCAATTTCACTCCCAGATATTACCCTGAGAAGCTGTCAGAAATATAGACAGGAATACAAGCAGAACATAGTGCATAACGGTATTTATAGTGGGGAAAAACTGGATAGACTATCAGAATCACCAGTGGGCAATGGCTAAGTGTGGTCTGGTACCTGTGTATAACGGCATGGTCCACAACCAGCAACAACAAGAACAGTTAGTTATGTTAAGTTTAAAACATAGGACACACTGTGGGGGGAAAATGGTGGATGCTTAGACACCATCTTTGTCTTTTCACTTTTCTCTGTGTTTACAAAAGGCATATGCCATTTTTATAATTAAAGAAAAAAAAGCTGTAGTATAAAAATTTTCCACTTCCAGCAATCTAGTCTATTGATAATCCTGAACACACAAGAAACACATTAAGCTATTCAAGGAAGCAGCTTGAAATAGTGCACAATCAAAAAACATTGTAAAAGTCCAAGTGGGGAAGGGCTAAACTCTTGAACACCTTCTCTATGGACTAGTAAATGTAGCTGCGGAATTCATGTTTACAAAGAGTAGGGAATATGAGCATGTTCCATGTTATCGAAAATTAGCAGGACAGATTGCATCGTAACAAAAAACCTAGCCTAACATGAGCAGAAAGACTGGAAGCAAATACTCAGAAGCGTCGGTGGATGTTGGTGGGCACACAGGTGGCTTCCCCTGACTATTGGCTGTTCTTTACTTTCTCCGATAAGCAACTATGATATTTACCATGAAAACTTAGAAGAGTCCTTCTATTTGTGTGAAAAGGCAATGGGATAAAAGAAGACAGTTTAACAAATAGTACCGATGAGTCACAGAACTGCAGCGGCATATTCCTCTTCTTACACCCGCTCTCACACACCTCTTACCTCATCTTTAAATAAGCACAGTGGAGACGAGGACAAGAGGAGGTCACATGGCAGATCTGCAGCAGGGCTGGGGCTTGAACCCAGGTGAACCTGACCCACCTTCACGCTCCTCCCACTCGCTGGCTAATGCCACTACTTACAACAGACATCTTCTCATCCTCTGCTCTGGACGCCATCACAATGACACAAACTGCTGTGTGCGGGACTCAGAGGGCCAATATATAAAGACCTACCAATAAGCAGGGTCCTCCTTAAGAAGAGCTCTCTCTTTGGGAGACAGGCTGCCTCCGACGACCCGTGTGACCAGCTGGTCAATGGTGTCCACCACCTTGTGATCCGCTCGCTGTGGGATGGCTGGAACACACAGAAGGGCTTTTCTGAGAAACACACAGGATCACACGGGGCCTGGGACACCCAGAACAGAGTTAGAGGCTTAGGATGGAGCCTAAGCAGGCACCAGCAACCAAAACCCTCATTCACAAGAAACCAGCACCAAAAAGAAGTGGCATGCTACTCTAATAACCAACATGCAAAATACCCTCCCAAGAGACATAATAGCATAAGCACTAGGAGAGAAATAAGCAAACCTGTAATGACTATACAGATATCTTTTATAGAAAGGATATGTAGCAACTCTATACATTTCATGTTATCACTTACCTTGAATGTTCACAATATTAAGGGCAAAATGTAATATAAAACATATCTAGATATAAAATAGGTAAAATATTTATCCAGGTTATGATTCTCAATATGAAGGAGTGAAGAAAGAATACATAAATCTGGACATATAGAAGGAAGATTAGAAGGAAATATATCAGAACATTAACAGAAGTTATCTATAGGTGGTAGATTAGGAATTTCATTTTCTTTTGGCTTTATCTATTAAAAAAAAATGTCCGTGTGTTTTATAATCAGAAAACATACATAAACTTAAAAAGAAAAATTCCCTAATCCAAAAAGTCAGTGGTCCTCAGATAGGTAGGTATTCACAGAAAATACCTGCTGAGTGTAAAGAAAGCAAACATTTTCTCAAGCACGGATGTCCGCCAATGACTTTTAATTTACAATGTCACCAGCAACACAAGATGTGCATTTGTGCCCGCAAATAAGACTGTTTAGTTTTCTGATATTTTTGCTAGTTTTAAGAGCACAGACTGGCCTACTTGTTCAGTCATTCAGCAAAAATCACCCCTGCCCTAAAAGCTCGCATTTGTTCTGTGATTAATAACTGTCTGGTCCCTCCCTATGTCCCAGTTGCATCTTATTTTAAACATCAAGGTGAGCTCCTTACACAGAAGTTACTCCTACAATTGTCATGTTATTGCAAGTATTTCCCCTTGGAAATTACTTTCCTGTTTTTTGTTACTGGCTCTCATCTTCCAGAACTGCTAGTTTTGTGTGATTTTACAGAAGAGTAAGGTTCCAAGTCAGAGCTTTCAGACAACGCAATTTGCAGATCACTGCAGTCACCTCTGGAGAAAGTGACCACAAGCGAGGGACAGAAAATGGGCCCCACCTTGGGCCTTCCAATCCTTCTCCTGAGACCATCCTTCAAAGGAGGATTTAAAAATAAAAAATAAAAATAATAGGAAAAGTGATAGACTCAAGTGAAGATGCCTTCCTAGCATTTCTAACAGTGATGGAAGAGACAGCTGAGCAGGACCCGAGGAGACCTGGGCACTGGCGCCATCTACCTGCTGCCCAGACAGTGGAACCCAGCTCTGCTTGGCCTTGGAAGCCTTTAGTAAAAGGCAGAATGAGTCCAACACCAAGAGGAAGGTGAGAGAGTTTAAGTCAATTATCACGATGTAGCAAATGCTGTAGAAACACGCCAAGGGCCTTTGGCAACCCCGTGAAAGGGCAGACTGGAGTTCTCGGTAAGGCAGGACCGCAGCCACAGGCATGCCTGTCCGAAGCAGCACGCCCAGAGCACGGAGGTGAGCAACTTCATTTACGGGAGATTGTCTCTCCATCACATCAAGTGACTTCTTCAGTACCATTACAGTGACTTTCCACTTCACCACTCTGGGGGTGTGCAGAGGCAGGGTCCCTCTTCTGGAAGGTCATGGCCACCCGTGGCAGGAGGTACTGAGAGCCCAGAGCAGCCAGGGGTCCTCCAGTAAGCAGAGGGAAGAGATTCAGGGATGATGAAAGAGGCTTCCCCACTGAGCGGGGCAATGAGGCTGAAAAGCATGTGGTGGGAACTTCCTCCTGGCTGGTCATGTGCCCATTATGTATGCTCAGACCTCTGGGATGCCTGGACTTGAGCACCCATCCTGGGAGACAGGGGGAGGGAGAGAGCCACCCACCAGCCAGCGATTTGTGTTTCTGTTACCTCTTGTTGGTCTGTCCCCACCCCAGCAAGCCCACTCACAGTGCACGTAACCAGGTGTCCCCGAGTGACCTAGTGACCTTCAGACAGTCTAGAAAAGTAAGTGGGTGGAAAGGTGCCTCCACCACCTGACTTGACCTGGTTGATCTCTGCCTGACCCTCAACACAGCTCAGACATGGCCTCCTGACTCCCCAAGCTGGGTTCATCTCCCTTAATCCCAGCAAGGGAGGAGCTGGTTTTTGTGATTTCTGTCCCTCAGGAGCCTGGGAACCCCTCAGAGACAGTGCTCAGCATGTACACCTCCTTCTAGGAGTAGTAAATACCTCAGGGTGAGCCCTATTGCAATGGGGCTGCTTCTTTACATTGGCCGCAGAACAGGCAAGCCCCTAGAAAGTGCTGGCAAAGCTGTATACAAATATATGGTTTTTTTTTCCTGGCAAGAACCTCAGCTTTCATCAGATGCCCAGAGGACTCTGTGTCCCAGAAATGTCTAAGGATTTCTGTGGTAAACAGACAACTCCTAATATATGCTTACAGAATGAGTGGCAGACACGTACACTGGCCAATGCGAGTGCTCTAAAATTCTGATGCGTTCCCAGCAGGCTAAAGAACGTCTGTGTTAAAATCTCGAAGATAATCAGAGACATTACAAGGAAACATGAACAACAAGCAGATCACATGGAACAGAAACTTCCACTGCTTTCCTTACCATCACTCAGAGCTCTCCGAGCCTTGGCCTGAATTTCTGGTTTGGTAGGAGAAAGCGTTTTCTCCTCGTCTTGAGTCGGCTCGGGTTCGGCTTTCTTGACCTGGAGAGGACACCCACTGCTGAACAGCCAGGCCTTTAGGTGATCGATGTACTCCCTCCCGAACAGAGTCGAGTCCTCGAAGTTCGGAAACGCGGCGGGAGAGGGAGCTATATCTTGGAGGCCAACAGCTTCCAAGATCTTCTCTTGCCGGAAAGAAGAGGCCAAGGAGAAAGTCTGTCCCAGAAGGGCTAACGACTTCCGGCAGAGGGAGTTGGTGGTCTCCAGGGCAACAGCGAAGTCCAGGGGGTTACTGAGGGTTTTCATCTTGACACTCAGCTCGTAGGCATTGCAGGCCATGAGCAGTGGAGTAACACTCTTAAGAAGCCGGTCTTGAAGCCTCATTATGTACTTGTCAAAGGGCTTTATGATTTCAAAAAAGCAATTTTTGGTCTTCACAGCACCTTTGTCTAAAAGCATGTTTAAAAACTCATTATCGACTCTGGGTGTTTTCAAAGCAGAGTGCTTTAAAAATTTGATAGTAAAAAAGCAGAAATCCCTGTGCTCTGGTTTTAAGGAGCATTTGAATGAGGCAAGCATTTTAGCACAGGTTTCTGTTTCAAGTTCAAAGAGAGTCTGGAAGAGCTGGGAAAATTTAACATCATCTTTAATAGTATGAAATCCAGCCCATTTGATTATTTCTATCCCAAACCTCGAAAACACATCAGACTTATCTAGGTCGAAGCTCATCTTTCTTCTGGGGAGCCGAATATCCTTCAGACTGAGCCCCAAGGGGATCTGAGTAGGGAACTGGATATCTTCCATCCCTGGGTTTGTCCCCAGGGTCACATCAGTATTTGAGGTGGTTTTCTGGATTTGGTTAGTGCCCTGAGTTTTGGGAGTAATACGATTTACAGTGGGTACTTTCTTCGTGCTCACACTTCTCAGTGCAACAAGCTTCGTGACCCCTGCCTTTGACGTGAGCAGGCCCTGAGTTTCCCCCTTTCCTAGGAGGGCACTCTCCTGGTCAACAATGTTTAGACCTCGGCCTCTGCCCTGGACTTGGCCACTGGCCCCAAGCACAGAGTCGGCCTCCCCTGGGCGGTCCACATCGTAATCGTGACTCTCTTTCTCCATCAGCCTGGAGGGACCAATGTCCCCCAGGAGGGCAGAAGGACCCAGATTATACTCCTGCGGCCAAGAGGATTCTTGAGAAACCGGGTGGCCAAAGTCTTGTTCCCAAGAGCCACGGAGGGCAAATTTCCAGTCCTGAGAATGAAAATGTCCTAGTTTCCTGTGGCCAAAGACCTGGTCTCGGGAATCAGGGTGGGAAAATTCCAGATACCGGCCACATTCTTTGCGAAAGTAGTTGTCATCACTTACAGAAGGGTTGCTTGATCTGAAGGAAGGTCCTGGGAATACATCGCCTCTCAGGCCTTCTCTCCCAGTGTCTCGAGGGTGAGCTGCAGATCCGCCCACAGAGTATCTGCTGTCTCTGTGAATGTCATCATACATATCTGCTCTGGCTCTTGGGATTGTTCTTAGAAGATCTGAAAGAAATGATCCAAAAAGAAACACAAAGGGATTTTAGACTAGAGGTTGCAAAACAGATAGTCCACAGATGGCCACTGGTCAGCAGGAACACTTTATTTGCTGGGATGTATTCTAGAAATTCACATTTGCTGCCAACATTCAAAATGTGTAGTTTTGCTTAAAAATCTGGATTTACTACTTATAAAAACAGAAGACCCTCACACACTGGGCCTGTAAATGCCCTGTGACAGTCCACAGGGCTGGGCGCAGGAGCCCACAGTCACTCAGACCTGCCACCCTGGCTCTGCCTTCCACAGGCATCTGTTTTACACTCTTTTATACCCAGGGAAAGGTGTCCGGTCTCTAAATAACTTGGACTTCTTTACCGTGACTGGAATACTTGTACATTTCTACTTGTCTGAATAGGCAGACTGGTTTTCTGTAGGCCACCTGCCCTCCTGTCTCCTAGAAAGAAGTCTCTCTCTAACTTTCTAGTTTTGGAATCACAATCTATTACCAATTCAAAAGGAAAAGAGATACCAGGAGGCAGTAATCAGCAAAGAGGCCACAGAGGCCACAGCTTTGTATAAATCTAAGTTTATTTGTTTAACAAGTACTTACTGAGCAGCTAGTCTGTGGGCACTGCTCTAGGCATTTACATTGCAGCAGGCAGAGAGACTGCAGAGCCCCCACTCTCCAGGACTTATCAGGTGAGGAGGCAAACAATGAACAAAACTCCACATGTAAGAAAGTACCCTTCAGAAAGATGAAGGAAATAGGCAGGAATGTGAAGAGGGAAAGCCATTTCTAGACAGGCTAGGCAGAATGGGCAGCCCTGACAACGTATCTGAGCAGCAGAGGCCTGGTGTGAGGGGCCAGGAGAAGCCTTCCAGGCAGAGCAAGTGTGAGGACAGAGCTCTGAGGTGGGACTAGCAGGGGATGACTGTGGCTGAAATGCAACAGATGGATTGATGCCAGGATTCTTCTTTGCTGAGTCGAAGAATGAACTTAGCAAACACCCAAAGTGGGAGAGCCAGGGAAAGGCTTTTATTTAGAGATACAGTGAGAGGACAGAGCTCCTGGCTCATGCAGGGAGGGGACAAGGGAACCTAGGGTGGTGCGTTGTCTAGGGGATTTATAGTCGGTTGAGGATTTTCAGGAATGTGGGTAAAGGGCTAGGAGTGCAGACTTGTACCACCTGCTCTGCTCCCAAGGTGGGCTGAGTTGTTGTCTGTTTGCTTAGGGCTGTTTATAGTTGAGATGAAGTCACTGGTCATGCTGAGATACCCTTGCAGAACACTCAAACATTCCAGGCCAAGTTGCTCCTGGCCTTTTGACCTTTAACTGATCTCACTGAAGATATCTACATTCCTTATATTTTTACTCTAGAGAATTAGTGTGACCTTGACTTTGCATAATGCTTAACACAGAGTTTCAATAGGGACTTCTTTACATAGTTACATTGCTTTGACTGTAAATATCCTGCCTTGCTTTTTCCAGAGGCCCTCACCCTACTCTGACTACACCCAAAGTCCCTGTCTCAGAATGAGGGACAAGTGGTAAGAAGCAGCTCCTAAACTCTGCTGTCCACTGGAGTCCCTGGGAACCCCCAGGCATCCTGATTGAATTAGGGTGGGATACAACCTGGGCATCAGGGTTTTTAAAAGGTCCCTAGATAATTTTAATGTGCAACAAAGTTAGAGAAAGGCTATGATAGGAGATATGAGCAGAAGGGGCTGGGACCAGATCAAGTCAGGCCCTCGATGGGACTCCGGAGTTTCTCTGAGAGCCACAGAAAGCTTCAGAGCAGAGAGATGACGTCCCTGGCTGCTATTTGGGGAACAGGCCACAAGGAATAGAATGGATGAGAAAGTTCCAGCAAGAAGTCCATTGGGATAATCAAGGTATTGCTGGTTACTGGTGGCAGGTTAAGGCAGTGGCATCAGAAGCAGCATGGTGGATGGATTCTGCACAACAGGATTTTCTGATGCACTGATTTACAAGGCACTGTAAACATGCAGAGTAGAGCACAGACACAGAAAAAAGCAAACTATGGACCATGAAGCTCTGAGACAGAGATGGTTCTAGAACCATCTAGCATCCTGATGGTTTCCTAGTCTCTGCTTTCTCAATCTTTCTGGAGGTAACTAAAATACGTACTGGTGTTCTGAGTCCCTAAATAAATAAACCAAGATTTAAATCTCCAAGTATATACATATGCATGTATATATACAGATAAAAGCACACATGTAAACACATGTATATGTACATAAGCATGTTAAGTATTCAGGATCATATATCACTAGAGGAATTTAAAGATGTAGAAAATATCACAGATATGATTACAACTGAGGGATAAGAAAGCAGGTAAGAGAACTTTGATATTTTACTCCCAATTTAATTGTTACAATCTTTTACAATAGGAAGGCTTTTGTGTACTACTCAAGTAATTTTTGAAAACTCAAGATCTGGGGACAATCTGAACCTTGGTCCAGGTCCAAAGCAACATAGTAACAGTTATCCCTATTCTAAGGACTCAGACTCATTCAACCAACACGGAGGAAGCCACCTCCACAGAGAGGCTGGCTCAGGGGCTGGTGCCACACAGATACAGGCCCGAAGGAGGCTGGCCCATGGCCGAGGAGTGTACCTCATGCTTCCCTGGGGATGGAAGGGCAAACAAATCAACGTCAAGGCCTGCAGGGACTCCCTGGGGTCAGAAAATCTGTGAGCCAGGTTTTAGTACCTGAGGGAATGAAGCAGACAGAGCTGGGATGAGGGGGATTCAGAACACAGACACAGCGTAGGATCACTGCGACTCTAGGCCCAAGGCAGGGGATAAGGGCTGGGGAGCCTTGTATGCTGCTGATGCATGTCACCCTGCCTGAGCACGGTTTTTGGTTCTGCTGGCATGATGTTTCAAAACTTTCTAAAGGGAATGTTTTCAGGCAGGACCTAGGTTCGGCAGCACCACAGGCACTCCCCCACACCAAGACAGACTGCTGTTACCTGGCCGTTCCTACACTTGTCTGATGACGTAACCCTGAAATGAGGAGCCCCAAGAGTCCAAGAAGGGCCTTGTCCCAGCAAAGCTGGCATTAACAGATCTGTGGGGAGGGCAGATTTGAGGGGAATGAAGCCACCAGACTACTGCAATAATCCATGGGGGAACTGATGAGAGCTCAAACCTGGGTACTGGTGGTCGCGATGGAGCCAGGAGATTGATTCAAGAACCCTTCTCTATCCCAACTTCAAGCTCTACCACAAAGCCACAGTAATCAAGACGATTTGGTACTGGCACAAGAACAGACCCATAGACCAGTGGAACAGAATAGAGAGTCCAGATATTAACCCAAACATATATGGTCAATTACTATATGATAAAGGAGCCATGGCTATGCAATGGGGAAATGACAGTCTCTTTAACAGATGGTGCTGGCAAAACTGGACAGCTACATGTAAGAGAATGAAACTGGACCACTGTCTAACCCCATACACAAAAGTAAATTCGAAATGGATCAAAGACCTGAATGTAAGTCATGAAACCATAAAACTCTTAGAAGACAACATAGGCAAAAATCTCTTGGACATATACATGAGCAATTTCTTCATGAACATATCTCCCAGGGCAAGGGAAACAAAAGCAAAAATGAACAAGTGGGACTGTATCAAGCTGAAAAGCTTCTCTACAGCAAAGGACACCATCAATAGAACAAAAACGCATCCTACAGTATTGGAAGAATATATTCATAAATGACAGATCGGATAAAGGGTTGACATCCAAAATAAATAAAGAGCTCACACACCTCAAAAAACAAAAAGCAAATAATCTAATTAAGAAATGGGCACAGGATCTGAACAGACAGGTCTCCAAAGAAGAAATTCAGATGGTCAACAGACACATAAAAAGATGTTCCACATCGCTAATAATCAGAGAAATGCAAATTAAAATCACGAGATATCACCTCACACCAGTAAGGATCGCCACCATCCAAAAGACAAACAACAACAAATGTTGGTGAGAATGCAGAGAAAGGGGAACCCTCCTACACTGCTGGTGGGAATGTAAATTAGTTCAACCATTGTCAATAGCAGTATGGAGGTTCCTCAAAAAACTAAAAACAGAGATACCATTTGACCCAGGAACTCCACTCCTAGGAATTTACCCTAAAAATGCAGCAGCCCAGTTTGAAAAAGACATCTGCACCCCTATGTTTACTGCAGCACTATTTACAATAGCCAAGAAATGGAAGCAACCTAAGTGTCCATCAGTACATGAATGTATAAAGAAGAGGTGGTACATATACACAATGGAATATTATTCAGCTGTAAGAAGAAAACAAATCCTACCATTTTCAACAACATGGATGGAGCTAGAGGGTATTATGCTCAGTGAAATAAGCCAGGTGGAAAAAGACAAGTATCAAATGATTTCACTCATCGGTGGAGCATAAAATCAAAGAAAAAAACTGACAGAACAAAACAGCAGCACACTCACAGAACTCAAGAATGGACTAACAGTTACCAAAGGGGAAGGGACTGGGGAGAATGGGTGGGAAGGAAGGGATCAGTGGAAAAAAAGGGGCATTACTATTAGCAGACATAATGTAGGGGGTGGGCGGGGGAGGGCCGTATAACACAGAGAAGACAACTAGTGATGCTATAGCATCTTACTATGCTGATGGACAGTGACTGTAATGGCGTGTGTGGGGGACTTGATAATGGGGGGAATCTAGTAAACATAATGTTCCAAAAAAAAAAAAAAAAAAAGAACCCTTTTCTAGGTGGAGGAAATGTGCCTGGGGAGGAGAAGCTGCAGATAATAACAGTATCACCCTGTATAATGATACTGTCCAACCCTAAACAAACATTTCATTACTTCCTCCACCCCCAAAGAAAAACCCAAAGCACTTTAATTCACCTTGAGCTTTAAACTGAAGAGCTTCACCTACAGCCTCACCACTGGGGTCCAGGTGATATCGGGTAGCTTTGTCTTGTAATACAGCATCAAAAGTCTCCTGTGCAATTCGCCTTGCTGCCATGTTTCTCTGACCTATAGAGAGGGGGTAAAAATTCCAGAGAAGAATGACAACTAACGTTCACTCAATTTATCTATTTCACCTAACCCTCAAAGCAAGGAGGCAGTATTTCATAATCCTACATGGTACTTCAGAGGGAGGTTGAATTGTTTTAATAATCTGACACCCAAGTCACAGGTGTGTGTTGCCAGAGAAAAGCAAGACGTGCATGATGATCTTGGACAACTTAGTTTGCTTCTCTGACCCCATCTCCTCAGAATCCCTTAAAAGCTCTGTAAAAGCAGTCGTATCCCTTGGGGTTGCTGGAGGACTGTGCAAGGCAGCGAAAGTGATATAATCATGTAGGAGAGTCAGAACATAACCCTTGCAAATGGTGGTTAGGAAAGCTGTGATCTTTCCCATTTCCCAGATAGCGTGGAAGAAGCTCTGAGAACTGCCTTCCCCTCTGATGGAAGCTTCTCAACAAGTGAATCCCTCACTGGTGAGAGAGCTTGCCCCATGCCAGGTCTTGCTGTAGGGAAAAGAATCCCACGATCTCATTTACTTATTGCAACAAACTCAGCGAAGAGATGGGTCCTGTTATGAGTGACATTACACATTAGAAAGTGAGACTCAGGCTAAGTGACGCACCCAAGGTCAGACTGCAGGGACTGGAACCTGGCAAACCAGTCCCTTAAGGACAAAACACTGAAGACTGAACAGAACACGACGGAGAATCAACACTGAGGCATCCGATGGCTGCCTCCTTAACCACGAAGACATCCCTTCCATCTTGGAACCTCCAATTCCAAAACCCAAGCCTGCCCTGCATTGTGCTCATTTCTTATAACCATCACCCCACCCCCCTTTCTCATCCTTCAGGCCTTTTCCTGGGGCGCCCCTGGTTTTCTGGTAAAGAAGGGCAGGGTCTTTCCGCCAGGGGTCTCGGAACCAAATCAAGTGGACTCATCTTTCTGTGACTCCGTTTCCCCGTCTATGGAATGGGCAGCTTAGGGATGCGGGGGGGGGGGACGCTGCGGAGAATGAACCAGTTACAAATGTAACGAACCGGATGCAGCGCCCGGCCGTTATCGCCCCACCAGCGGGGCCGCTCCGGGCTGGGGTGGAATGAATGAATCAGTGAACCAATGATCCCCTCCGGGAGTGGCCCTCCGCCTACCGGCCTCCGAGAGCGAAAAAAAGGGGATGTCAGGCCACAGAGGCCGCAGACCGCCCCTCAGGCCGACCCGGCCCAGACGAGGCCGCGGCGCAGCCCGAGGGCCGAGCCCGCGGCGCCATCGCGGGGACCCGGGACGCCCCCCGGGCCGAGCTAGAGTCCCCACCCCAAGGCCCATCCACCCACGACGCCCGGGCCCAGGCCTCACCCCGAGGCCACCGCGCGCGGAGCCGGAGGAGCTGCCGCCGCTGCCGCCACCGCCGCCGCGCGAGGCGGGGACATGCAAATGAGTCACAGTTCCCGCAGCGCCGCGCCGCGCAGGCGACAACCACCGAGCCCTTCTGCGCAAGCGCACTGCTCTCTTCTACGGGCGTGGATACGACCGAGGCAAAAAAATTTCCCTCCTGAGGGCGGCGGCAACGGGAAGCTGCTCAGAAAAGGCGGCGAAGACGCCACCGCCGCACACCTGTTGGTCCTCTCGGTTTTACCTGCGATCGCGGTCGAGCTTGGTCACTCCCGCTAGTGGCTCGCGGGCTGAGGGAGGACGAAGCAGGGCGCCACTAGCGCGCCTGCGCGCGTACGGCGGCCGGAAGGGACAAGAGGCGTCTCCTCTGGTGACAGCTGTGAGCCCCACCCTTTCCCCACGTGGACGCGAACACCGGGTAAGAAGCAATGGCCACCGAGTGTCCTCGCGCGCGGGGCGGGAGTGGGTGCTGTGGGGTCGGGCCGGTCACTTTGGCACCGCCCTCAGGGACTCGGTTTTGGGGAATGACTCGTACGGAAGCCGCCAAGGGACAAAACTTCCCCATGTCCCTGGCCTCGGGGGAGTTTTTTTGGTGGGTTTTTTTTTTTTTTTT